GGGGCCCTTGGGGGGGGCCTCGTAAGTCCAAAAAAGCAAGGGCCTTAATAACTAGAAGAGGGTTGTGGTGTATTTTTCTCCATTAAAATAAGGAACCCGCAACCACAACCCTGTTCGAATTACTTCGGCCACTACATCATAGAACCCTCATAGTAACCCTTATAGACGAACCCTTTAAGGGAACCCCATTCTAATCATTACATGAATTTGCCACCTGAGGAGCCTCAGAGAGCCGCGTGAGCTGCGCCTGCTGCCTTGCCGAACTCCGGAGAAGAACGCGCTTTCAGGGTAGGGTTTAGGGTTTAAGGATTTTTAGGGTGGGTGTTCTTGTTTTTCTAAACGTCCCTTTGTCCCAAAGCGGTGATTAGGGTAGGGTTCAAGGTTTAGGGGGTAGGGCTTCGAGGGTTTGCTGTTTAGAGGGTTTGAGTCTTAAAGTGGATATGTATAAGACAAGGGCCTATATACTTGGAAAAGGGTTGTTGGGGGCCCTTGTTCCGCTCATATACTGCCTACACAAGAATCTGAGCTTCTGGGATATCTACCTTTGGTGCAAGGCTTTTGGGTTCGGGCATGTCCTCGAGGCTGGGATATGGCTGGGTTTGGCTGTGCGGGTTGAAGCTTCAGGGTGAACTGGTTGAGCATGAAGAACTCTGGATAGACCTAACTAGAATAGTCGGAGAACAAATGGCTACTACTACGCCTATGTGTCTTGTGACTAGCTCTCCTTGCTCGAAGGACTACTCGCTGCTGCCACAGACGTCATACTGGTAATGTGGCACCTGTTCTCTGTAGCCATCATGAGTTACAGCACAGCATTTATTCATATATTGGTTACTGTGACTTTTTCGAAATACGCGACGGCAATGCTGCAGTGAATATCATGGTAACGCGATGACAGCTGAACTTGCTTCGGTGACGCAAGACAAGCCAAACTGAAGTGACCTGTAGCAGCACCTGTCAAACGGAGCACTTTAAGACAGACTTCGTAGTAGTGCTGGTACTGGTTAAAGGTTGGCTTTATTGTACTTCTCATGTCAAGGGCAGAGTGGCCATAGTTGTTCGTCAACTGAAACATGGGATCTCCTTTTGAGGGCAGACGTCACTACAACATGCTGTGGGATTAGTACTGCATCTCTCCCTGCATAACCTTTAGGGATCGAGGGGCTTTATCCAGGCTTTATCCCCTCCGGTCCTACGGTTACAGTATTACAGTAGCCTTCTCGCAGTGCAGATAAAGGAGGTTTCCATGGTTGCCAATGAATGTATCTGCACTTTGAGCTTCTCCGCCGAAACCAAAACTGATAAAAGAAGAAGAATCCCAGAAAACCTGAGATCCCTAAGTCCCCTTAACGGAATCCTTAAAGGAACGGGGGCTGACGACAAGAAGTGAGTCCGAGCCACTGGGCTGCGAGACGAGCCAACCTCTCCGGGAAAGGCGGCAGGGCCTCGGAAAGCGTGGGAGAATGCTTAAGGGATCTATTCGGGGGTGCTTGATCTATACTTAAAAGGTCATGGGACTTAGTAACTAGGGTTATAATTAGGGTAACTATACCTATCATTGCTTATAACCCCAATTGGGGTACTTATAACCGTACTTACTAAGTCCCATGATCCTCCAAGTAGGGTGTCTTTAAGGGATCTAACAGTCTATAAAGTCTATAGAAGGCCTTTATGGGTTCTATGGGGCTGGGAGGGTCCTATAAGGATTTACGTAGGGTCTGGGGTTTGGGGGGCTGTATAGCAATGGCCTAAAATGACTTATGACTTAGAGGGACCCCCTGACGGGGATGGCAAAGGCCGTTTGCTAGCAAAGGTTTCTGAGGATAGTTGGTTTGGAGGCAACCTTGAAACTCTGTTTACCCGGGCGTAAACTGATATGGCCTCACCAGCACTCACTAGCGCTCAGCAGTCCCTACTAGCGCTCACCAGTGCTCAGCAGTACAAGCTCTAGTGCTCACGAGCGCTCAAAACCAACGTCGTGCCTCGGTGTGCTATGTAGTTCTTACTAAGCCTTAGCAAGGCTTTGCAAGCCTCACGAACAAACCAAACCACTAAGGCTTGCTATTCGCTACTAAGGCTTGCCAGCTCTTGCCAATGCTTGGCAGGCCTTCCTATCCAACCATCAGTTTCTGCTGGCAAACTCTATTTGCCATTCCCCCTTAGGCGGGTCCCTCTAAATCACACTTCATAAAAGACTCAGCCCCAAATTTCAAAACAAAAGCCGAGGGCCTGAAACGCCATGGCCTAAGCTTGAGGTTGGAGTTGTAAGCCATTGAAACAACACACTTCTCTAGGTTGGCCCTTTAGAGGGCAGTTAAAGTTATACTCGTAAATAACATCCTCTTCGGCCCAATAAACGGATGGGATGGAACTCACCGAGAGCACCTTATGCCAAACCCAACAAGGCCTCCATGGCCCCAAACCGCACGGAGCGGTCCAGCCCGCGTAATCCCGCAGAGGGCGCGTGGTGCAAGCAAGCTACTGTGCCCAAGACCCTTTGCTTAGACAGCTAGTGTAGGAATGATTCGAGCAGGGTTTTTTCTAGTAAAAGTGTGTAGGGACGTTAGAGGGACCTTGTCTTGTGGTGTTGTAGGTTCCTTTAATTAGTAAGGAAGACCCTGGAAATATAGATGGGTCCCTAGAACGACGGAGTGGCCCAGGTGGGAAGCAGCAGTGCTTTCGATATACCGATGCTTGACTCCCCTTGATTTATTGTTACATGCGAGCCAAGGGGAGTAGCGTGCCAGGCACAACCGGCATGAACCCTGAACCCTTTTTGCAGCAGGCCTCGTTGTCCAGCAGCCCGGACCCTAAACCCTAAACCTAAAAACCCCCAAAGCCTGAAACTGAAAAGCCAAGTCCGGCAACCGCGGCTAGAGCTTTGAGATGTAGACTCCCAGAGAGCCCAATACCCCGTAATTAAGGAATTTACCTTAGATCATAATATGAAGCCCTATATAATTTAGGCCATATTTCTTAATTAAGGGGTATTGGGCTCTCTGGGCTCCGAACCTCAATTCACAAAATCTAAACCTTCAGCTTTGACCTTCTGCTTCTCAAATCAGCACATACACTCAGAAAACTCCAGGGTCGCATCGGCCCCCAACTCCGCTGCCCAAGCCCGAAACCCATAGCTCAGAACCATTCAGAACCTGTGAGCAAAAACAGCAGAACGCCTCTTTGCGCACCTCTTCCTTGGAGCTGCGAAAAACCACAGAAACACGGCAGCATCGCACCGCGTGGTCAGGGGTTCTGTCGCAGTATCCTCCCCCCCCCCCCCGATGAGCGCAACCTCGGTCTCCAAACCCTCAAGCCCTAAAGCCTACACCTGGTTTGGGTTAGCGTTTGCTTGTACCAGGGCCTCCGGCAAGTATCTGGAACTCTCCAACACATCGCCACATGCCCCAAAACACGTCTCATGCTCCAATGCTTGCCACCTAGAGACACAACCGTGCAAGGAGCTACCCTCAACATACTTCCAAGATCTTCCAAGGATGCCACAACCACAGAAACTCATCGCATTTAGGGGTCAGGAGTCATCTCCGCTGGAAACGTGGGCGAAGGTCATTCCTTCAGGAATGTCTGCATGTAGAAGTGACTACAATGAGTAGAAGTTGCTCAACACCTCCATGAAGTGCAAATTTCAGATTATGGGAAGCGTTAGGGGAAAGTGGTGAAGCTATTGTGCGGACACATGGCTTGGCGTTCGGAGTGTCTTACATGGCACCTGCTAGGGAACGGTTGAGCATCACTCTGTTCAGAACCGGCGCAGGCACAAGATGATGGAAAACACAGCGACGGGCCCGACCCATTTTGGGGAGCCCAAGAAACCTGCGCGTGGGGAACGCTTCACTTCAGGTGCCGTTTAATCCCATCCGCTGCCAGATGTGCCCACATCAGCATCCCCTCTAGACTCTAGAAACGGCATGCCAGCTTTCTCAAAGGCCCGCATGAGTCCTCGACTCTAATTTCCTGGCTCCACATAGATTGCACTATTGTCTTCGATCTAGAGACATCCGGCGGTTTCGGGCCTACTCCGATTTTGAACTAAACTTATCCTTCTTCTGGATGTTGAGGCAGCATGAGATGGACGATCACCCAAGTCCTGGCTGTCGGTGCTATCAAAAAATTGAAACGACATGTGCTCAGTGGCGGGGAAAGTGTTCCCTTCGCCACCCAAGACCTGGATATATGTATGTATATATATATATATATATAGACACACTTATATATATTTATATATAAATATATACATATATATATATATATATACATACACGCATATCTATCTATATATATATATATATACATGTATGTGTGTATGTGTGTGTCAACATAAACATATATATATATATATGCGTGTGTATATATAATTGCATTTGTATACTGTATGTATATGCATGTGTATCTGTATGGGTATGTGTATGTGTGTGCACGTGTTGATTTATGTTGCAACATTTGTATACTGTGTGTATGTTCGGATGTGTGTGTGTGTGTGCGCTTGGCAGTTTGTAAGCTTGTAAGTATGTATGTATGCATGCATGCATGTATGCAAGTACGTATGTACGGATGGAGTGTGGATGTATGTGTGTATGCATGTAAGTATGCATGTATGTATCCATGCAGGTACCTATGCGACCTATACGTCCGTGCACGTACGGATGGATGGGTGGGTGAGTGGGTGGATGGGTCGATATGTGCGTCCAAACACAAACTACAAAAAAAACAACGGACATGTAAGTTCGCGGGTGCAACGCTGAAGAAACCGAAGGCACACTTGTTCCAAGCCCTACCCTGCAGTGACGCAATCCATATGACGAGGCATCGCAACGGGACTATTACCGCGTCGTCCTGGGCGGCGAGCCGCCTCTGATATGGGTGGTTGTCAAGATTATGGTCCCTTTTTGGGTACCCTAAATCTTAGGTGCAGTATTATAATAAGGACCCAGAAAGGGATCCTAATATTGACAACCGCCCAAATATATTTTGGCATCAGGCGTCTACGCCAGCGGATGGAAGCTTTTGGACTGCCTGAGTCTTGTCCAGGGCGGAAAAACTGCGGGCAAAAAGAGAGAGAGAGAGAGATATGTATATTTATATATAATTATGTCTTATGTGTGTATATATATATACATACTATAACCTCTTGAATGAGGCAAAATAGAGAGAGATATACATACATAAATATATGTGTATATATATGTATATACAAACTACAACCTGTTGAATGACTGTCTTGGCTGAGGCTGCACGGCTGATGCTACCGTGTTCTGCCACGGAAGAACCGCAACTTTCATCATATCTCCTGATCCTAAACTCTGGAACCTGCAACCCAAAGCTTATCCTTTCTGGCTCAGGAGCAGTCAGAGTTTAGGCTTTCTTACCTGTCCAGTACCCTTGGGGAATGTAGGGTCCTCTGGGATTATGTAGGGGTTGTAATACCTCACGACGGTTACATTTTACCTGCTCTGCTACTTAGGAAGCTAGTCGTCGCGATTCAAGACATGGTGGAAGCAGCTTTTGCACACCAGAAGAAGGCTTCAAGAAGGGCCCTGAGGATCTTCGCGCTGGAAAGCTTTGACTTACAGTTTAGGATTCTTGGAGGTTCATTTGTAGTTATAAGCGGGGTCATAAGTAGGGCAACTATAGTTACAACCCCCATTAGGGGTCTTATAACTCCACTTATGACTACCCATGAACCTCCAAGCATGAGGCTTCATATTACAAGGGCCTTCACAAGGAGGCCGGCTAGGGCCTAAGAGTTGAATTCCGTGGTGCTTCGTGTTTAGAGTTTAGGTAGGGTCTAGGGATTTCAAACTCTTTGGCTCGTGTTTTGCATGGAAGTTCCCTGCAAGGCATCCCTCATGGATCGTGCCTCAAGCCCTAAAGCCTTTTCTGCCTCGCCCCCAAACTCTAAAGCCTACCTCCAGATGCGATGCACGACCCTTAGCATGAATAAAAACCAAACCCCTTTCTTTCGCCGTGTGAAGTATTGGAAGTAAACGTGGCCAGACCACCTACGCGGTCAAGGTCCAACCCAAACCCTAGACCCCCCGAGTCAGCCATAATCTCGATTTCCTGGAATGCAGCTGGCGCTACCCAGCACCAAAGTGGAAGACCTCCATCGTTTGAGCTCAGAGAGATAGAGGTAGGAATACTATTAGGGTTGCGGGTTTAGGGTCTACGAGTAGCGTCCTAGTGTACCGCAATTCCGCCTACTCTCAGTATTGACCTTCTTTGACTAAGGCTTGGATATGGGAGCTTCCGAAAATTGGGGGTACCTTGTTTTGGGGTCCTTATAGTGAGGATCCTGATATATAGAGTGCTATAGTAGGGTCCCTCATTTTCGGAAACCCCTATGTTGGGGCTCCGGCAACCTCGACATTCCGAGTGAGCTTCGGAAACGAAGCTGCCCTAGTGCAACCCAGATCCGTCGGATGCTGTCACAAACCCCCTGAATCTCTCTTCTTCAACAACCGGGCCCCAAAAACTTCAAACTTTCTAAGCTAGAGCTAATGTATAAGGCCAACAAGTTTAAAGTTCCCCCGCCCACTATGTAAGGAATACTTTTTTTACATCTGGACTTGATGAATGCCAGCACCCCACTAAGCACAGAACCTGTAAGGAATACTAAACCCTGAACCCAGGCCCTCCACGAAAAAAATCATGAGGAGGACCTCATGGCACAGGTACCGGAGTAACTTCGCTTCGCGTTTTGACTCGGTCATGTCAAACCCCGATAGACGACGAGAGATGTCCTTAGGTGCCATCATATCACTACAATTTTGAAGTTGTGCGTGCCAGCCGCGCTCTGGGTTCATCCTGATGCTCCCCGTTGCGGTCCGTATGTCTATATGCTTGCGTGGGAGGCTCCACTTCGGGTGGTTCTGATTCTGAGGGATGGGGCTGAAGGCTTCGGAACAAATGGCCTACTCACTGAAAGGGAGTAATTCCAGATTTGCGGGTCCCTGTCAGGCAGTACCATAAGGGTTAATATAAGGCTCAGCCAGAAAATGCTGGAGAACGGAGAAAAAAATGCAAACCAGGCACGCCATCAGGAAAGCCCAGCAAGGGTCAGCTGATCCTCCAAAAAGCCTTAAACCTCCAAGCCCTCAAGACCGAAACCCCCAAAAGCCTTCTTCTCTCTTTATAACCTGAAACCGAGATCCACACACTCAAATAGAGGACCCTGATATACTAGAATTAAGAGTAATCTAGGAATGAACAGGGTGCTTGTAAGAGAACCTAGATCCTAAAGAAGGGAATGATCAAGAATAAGGGCCCACTCCGGGGTCCTTGTATAGAACCCCCAATCCCTAATAAAACCTAAAACCTAAACCCTAAACCCTAAACCCTAATCCCCGAACACACGGCGCGGGGCGCCTTGAGGTGCTGCGCGCGCTTCAGCTCGCCACGCACACCTTGCGGCGCATCTGTTGCTCTTGCTTTACAGTAGAAGCCAGAAAGTTGGAATATCATTATCTTAACCCCTTTAAGGTAAACTATAGGGGATCCTACCATTAATCCATATTCCAACTTTCTGGAGTTCCCTGTAGGGAATGTCACTTCCTGTTCAGGGTACTAGGGTCTTGGCTTCACGGATTTTCAGTCAAGTTTTAAGTACCAGGCATTAAGATTCTACCGGTTTGGGCTTGAGGTGAAAAGCTTCGGCCGGCCGAAGTGGTGGTTGGAGCCCTTTTGCCAACCGATTGGAAATCAGACTGGCAGGCAAGACGAGACCCTAAAGCGTGAACACCCCCTTCGGTTCTGCAAGTGTAGGTGCAGAGCTTCTGATCTAAAAAGGGTGCCTTAGCGACTAACGGACCTTGTTGTAGGTCATGTTTCAGGATTTCGGTATGGAAAAATGCAACTACATTAGAGGCTATAATAACTATAAGCTATGAAAGAACTTTGTCTACCCATCGAACCAGGTGTTCATGCGCCATGCGCTTCATCTTTCTCGTCTTCAGGTGTGCAGTTACGATCTGCTGAAAACGAAAGAGACTTTACGAGACCCCTCATTTGAAGGCGAAGGACTCTGACGCTTCCCCTTGATGACATCCGACTTCTGCAAGGACTTTACCTTGGCTGCAGGGCATCGGTTTCGGGTTTAGGGCGCACCGCTTAGCAAACGATGTAGGATGTATCGATGCGGCAGGGGGAACGCTCCAGAAACTAATTAACAAGCGCCATGACTGCTCGGGGCCACGTCAATGGAAACTTACCATGACATACTCCGTTTCCGACAAGCAACAATAAGCACGTAGAAGGATCCGATTTCTTGATACAGGCATATAAATCCTTAAACCCTAAACCCCAACTTAACCGTCATATAAGCTCTCAGACGGAGAAAGTGCAAACGAATCCGAGAACCTCGATTCTTTCAAGGGGGCCTGAAGAAGTAGACTCGGGTTTAGGATTTTTGCCAACCTTTCTAAGGAACTATATATACTATAGGAACCACAAGAACCCCAAGGAGGTAGGTCTTTTCGGCTACAGGTATGGCCGTAGGGCTTGGGGCTTAGAGCCTACTTGTCCAGTATGATGAGGGACGAAAGGTTGACCTTTGGGGGTGTATTTGGATTATAGGGTTTGAAGTATCCCAAAGAGGCTAAGCTAAAGGTTACCTACTACTACTACTACTACTACTGCTACTACTACTACTACTACTACTACTGCTACTACTGCTACTACTGCTACTACTACTGCTACTACTACTACTACTACTACTACTACTACTACTACTACTACTACTACTACTACTATTACCACTACCACTACTACTACCACTACCACTACCACTACCACTACCACTACCACTACCACTACCACTACCACTACCACTACCACTACCACTACCACTACCACTACCACTACCACTACCACTACCACTACCACTACCACTACCACTACCACTACCACTACCACTCCCACTACTACTACTACTACTACTACTACTACTACTACTACTACTACTACTACTACTACTACTACTACTACTACTACGACTGCTACTGCTAGGATAGTCCACTGCTCTACTCGGCTAGACGTCCCAGATCTTCGGGTCACTATACTGAACTTAGACCCCTAGCGCAAAAACTCTAATTTTAGCTGTTTATTAGGGATTATAATAACCAGAAATTCAATATTATTTCTAAGCACCAGCAATCGGAGCCTCCTGCAAAAAAGCCGTAATAAAAACGACATACTATTTTGGGGTTCCTATCATAGGCATAAAAAGCCGTCATAAGAACAAAATGCTATTTTTGGGGGGGGTTCCTAACTATAGGCATAGTACACCCAAAACCTAAAGATAACAACTACGCACTATTTGGGTGTTCGTTTTCATAGTTCTAGTCCAATATACTGCACCCAAAGCCCTATTCTAATTTTTAAGGCGCCTCTAGTATATCGGAAGTCCCTTTGGTGCTGGGATTCCCTATGCCCTATGCCGTACCTCCAAACAACGACGCTCCAACGTTCTGGCTTTTGCTTTTAGGATTTCGGGTGTCGAGCTTTTGAGGATTTGGGGTGCTTGTAGCTTCGGGCTCGGAGCCCTTCTTTGAGGCTCAGCTGCAAGCTTCACGACTTTCTTGTCCAACTGCCGCAGATCCGCATGCATCTGGATCTGGTCCTAGACTCAAAGCTGCCCTCGCTCCACACGATACTACGAGCTTGTAGGAATGGAGAGTGGGATCTCAGGTCAGGTGGGATACTTCTGGCCGCTATTCGTGGGCAACGAGCGAAGGTAAGTCAAGAGGCTATCAAGTCGCCGGAAGTAGAAGCCGATGCCCTGTAGCCTGTAACCACATGTGCATCTTCAACCCAACTCCTCTTAAACAACTACCCCGGTCTCAGAACGTTGATTCCTGGGCGGCTGAGTACCCTAGCCCAGCAGAATGAAAAGGCTAACCTTTCCGTCATGGTAGACCTCTGCCTGTCTATCTGAACCTAGCGATCTACCCAGGCATCTACTCATCTGTCTATGTATCTGCCTACCTAGATATGTATATACTGTGCGCTCCGTATATATATGTATATATATATATATATATACACATGTATACAGGAAAACTACGAATGTATACAAGCATGTCGACGCATATATATATATATATATATATATACACACACATAGAAATCTGTGTATGTATGTATGTATGTATGTATGTATGCATGTGTGTACATATATACATATATATATATATATATATATAGTATATATATATATGCATATATATATATATATATCTATATATATTTATATATATTATACATATATACCGGAAGAGGTTGAAGGTCGCCAACCTAGGCCCTCAAACTCTTCTATGATTCTACGAATTGAGTACAAGCCACCGACCCGCGTCTCAAAGATCTGGCAACCCAGCTAGCCCAAGACCCATTCATGAAAGAATATGCCCTTAGCTTAAAGTTTGGGTTTAGGGCGGGCGGATTCACAGGCCCAAAAAGTGTACACTTTCAGTTCTATAGGGGGTTATATCATCCAAAAAATGTAAAGTGTGCTCACTCAGCTACTAAATACCTTGCCTGAAATACTCACTGAAATACCTTAAGTCACAACATTCAGCCCCTTGTACCTTGAGGTACACTCCTTGATTTGAGGGGTATTGGGTTCTTTGCCCTTTCTTCCCAAAGTCACAAGCAACTGGGCTTAAGTCTTGCATGTGACCCGGAGCAATGCCGAAAAATAGCTGTCAATACGACCTAACGAAGACTCCAAGTTGAAAAAAGGCAAGCATCGATGGCTCTGGCACCACCTTTGCATCGTAGGATTCCGTCGATAAACTCTTCCCGAGTCACCTTCTCAGGTTTCGATTTCAAGCATTAGGGCTATGGTTTTTCCCCTGCTACTTACAGGGTATGGTTTACGGTTTAGGGGGTTTGGCTCAAAGGAGCTCAGGGTCAGGTGCAGGCAAGGTTCGCAGGGCGCAGCTCGGCAATTAAAGAGCTTTGTGAGACCCGAGGCTCTGTCAGAGCTTACCCAGACTCCAGTTTCCCTTAACTAAGGAATACTATTCAAATCATATTAAGGTTCCTGCTGTCATTTAAGGTATATTCCTGAAATAAGGGATATTGGAGTCTCTGGATACAACTCCCCCTCCCAGTCGAAGTTAACCATAGCGAGTTCCGGTTACAGGGTGTATACTGGACCCGCTGAAACTCACTGAAGCCTCAAGTTACACGTCAACCCTTAGACGGGTCTCACTCTCCTAGCTAGTAGTGCAGGCTTCTGCTACTTCCCTACACAGGCTGTGCCAACAAGTCCCTCCCACCACTATGCCCCTGCAACGCCCTGATAGCCGACCCCACCTCGCCGTCACCTGGGCTGGGCATCAGGCATTTGTCTGCGCTGAGCCGGCTCACACCCACAGCGGAAGGCCAGAGGAGTGCTGGAAGCAATGATGTAGGGGCCTTCATAGTTAGAATACGGTTTGGGGCCCACTACACAACAAATATAATAAGGAACCCACAAAAAATACTGGTAATCATTTAGGCCCCTATACTACGCGTGACTTTCAATCATTTTTGCACGGCGTTCTGCCGTCTAATCACTCGGCGGCCACCTCAATGCCTGCAACGAGGCAAGTCCCGAAGATCGAGAAAGCCCCAGCCCCCACTCAAAGTCGAGCAGCCGTTGTCCAAGATGTGGAACAAAGCTCTGCTCTCGTGCACATCCAGCTCCAGTGTCTGAAAATAAGCCGCAACCTCGCATTCTGCGGCCGAAAGTCGGGACTGGTTTTGCACGAGGTTCCGGGTTTAGGGTTCACGGTATGGTTAGAGTCAAAAACTCCCACACAGATTTCGAGCAGGCATGTTTTCGAACAACGGCGACGCGAAGACGGTGTAACAACGACTCGTGCGATGATCTTGGCCATGACCGGCTGCGACAGCTATTTCTACGACCGTCTGCATCCAAATTCCGGACCCCGGACCATGAGTCCTAGACTCCAAACCCGATAAAGTACCCCATATAGTACCCTTCTAGAACCGATACAACTCCATTAGTTCTATTGTTGTTTCAAACCGGGAACGCGAGGCGCGGCTTCAAGTAAGAAGCATTTCATAGTCCCAAGCCCGGTCACTGTAAGGTCTTCTGTAAGGCTTCTACAAGGTTACTATCAGATTACTTATATGGGATTCTCGCAAGGTACAAACAGCACTATGACTGAAGGACGGGCTTAGGACCCGAAGAGCCAAAGGAACTCAAACCGGGCAGTCATTCAGAAGCATGAAATCTACGCAATTTACGCAAAGATCAATAGCAATGTTGTTAACCTTTGCTTATTCTCACCTGCGCCAGCTCTTTCCATCAGCCCGCCATGTCATGATTGGATAACACAGGGGTCTCGATAACTAAATAGGATTTCGGGGTACATCATAATCTTATATACCCTAAGTATAGCAAGGACCCCCCCAAACAGTATCGATAATTATTGCGGCCCCTGACAAACCCACAAAATTAGTGTTGGTGATTTGTGCTTGCCGCACACCCACACACACACACACCCGTGCTAGGGTTTAGGGGTTAGGGGCGTCCTGGGTAGAGCACTTGCAGGACAAGGAGGTTTTGCAGGTAGGTGCCCCAAATTCGCGTCAGCCTCAGTAAGACCCTGTCACTGTAACATTGACCTGCGCAGTCAAACACCTTATCCTTCGAAAGGCTACACCCCAAATCCTAACTCGGACCTCCCAACACGCCTTGAAAGCAGAAACGCCACCAAACTTTTCTTCAGGGACTGCAATTCACTAAGCCCTAAACCCCTTCAGCCAACCCAACGAACCAGAAACCCGAAGCCCAAAGCTCCACGGCAACCGGCCTTGGGGTTGGAAAGAATCTCCGTCAGCCTCGAGATAGGCTGCTTCAGATAAACTCTACCCCCCTTGAAACCATTATGAAAATCATGTTTGGGTTATTTCCCTCCTACCCGGCGCTTGAAATATTATCTTGGGTTCTACATGAACAAAACAAAAACTGATCTCTAGGGAGGCTCTAGGTTGAATTGTGATGAAGCTCAAGGGAGTCTAGACCACAACAGTCAGCCAGTGGGGCTTAGGGATGTTCAGGGTCGCGGAAAGAAAGACATAATTTTCGGAAACTCTAAACCCTAAACCCTTGATAGAACCCTTATAGATCCCTTAAAGGAATCCTTATAGATCCCTTTAAAGGTACCAGCGTCGCCTCTCTTCTGAGATCATGCCATCGCCGCACTTGTCGATGGCTTGAAAAACTGCCTCCAGCTTGCCGACGTACTCGGCCTGAACGAGGAGGCTTTCATGCTTGTATAAGTTGAACTCTGTAGGGGTTCCTGCTAAGGATCGCGTTCAAGGATCTCCTTGAAGGGCATCCCTCGGGGGCGACGGGCATGCATTCGGCTCCATGAGCGGTTCAAGCTTGTGCGGTGATGTCAAGTCGGCGATTCTCATCAAAGCGGTTTATGGTTCAGAGGTTAAGGCTTAGGGTTTAGAGGTTTGGGGTATGCGTACATCAGAGAAACTAGACTAGGTGGCAGATGGTGGCAGGTTTCCGAATTTCCACACAAAATCTGGCCTGGCAAAGCCGATGCAACCTATAAAAGCGAACACCCTCGCCACGAACCCCATACAAAATAGAAACACTTCTTGCAACCAGTGTTCCCCACGAGAACTATTACAGCTGCTCGCAATTTCGCAGCCACAGCTACTACAAGTTAGGCCTTAAAGCAGGCGCATCATTCCAAGACCCAAGACCCTGGTAGCCGGTTTAAGGCCTCTGCACAACAGGAGGCCTTCTTCCTCATCTTGTCCAGAATGAGGTTCTCAGCGTCGTTGTGGGCAGCGTCCAAGGTGTCTTTGAGAAAGATGGCCGTAATTACCTTTGACCGTTTTTTTTTATGCAAGTATAAATATAAATATGTAAATAAACAAATAAATAAATATTTATAATATATATATATACATACATATGTCGTTATAGTGCAGGTACCCATGAGGACGTAATGACCTTTTTGTTTGCAAAGCCGCAAGAGCTGTAGGGCTTCAATGGCCCAAGCTACAAGTATCTTACTGTTTGCCTTGTTTGGCTGTAGATCTCTGGGCTAGTAGGAGAGCCGGAAGCTAGGGCCCCAAAAAAGCACATAAGCAAAAATGAGGATAGGAATCTCCCACATCAACCCCCATAAAAGGAAGCCCAATAAAGTAGTAAGTAGGGATATCCCCCATAAAAAGCTTACGTGCTTATTTTTGGGTCCTTAACAAGTAGGCTACTTTGCCACGGCAGCTACACGGCGGCAGTACAAGGTTCCCTCTCAGTTTCCCCGGGCTCATAAGCACACGAGCTTAAAGATTTCAGCCCGGGGCCCAAGTTTAGCCAAACCTGCAACCGTCCTGTACGGCAGCATAGGGGCTATGGCATATGGGGGAATCTTGTCATGGTATCACTCTATCAGGACTATGAGGGAATACCAGTACTTCATGAAGCATCTTGAGCGCCGTCATAGATGCTCTTATCACTGCGAACACGATAACCGTGACGTACAGGACGAAGAAGATCACCTCAGTCAGAAGCTTTTTCAAAACGGAGCTGGGGGATTCAGCACCCTGGCATCGCAACCAATGATGCACTGCGACAT